TGCAAAATAAATTCGCATATCAGGGAAAATCTCCATTATGGAGAGGTTCATGCATTCAGTGACTTGTTTGCTTCATACGAAACAAGCCAATGGGTGCAGTCTCGTCTCGTGAAAATCTCGTACGATTGGATTTGTTTACTCGAGTCTGGGCTGTTTGATTTGTGAGTAGCGCCGAGATTGCACTGCCCCAAATAAAGTTGCGTGCCGGTAGAGCAAGAATTACGATCTGCAATCTGTTTGTAGTACCTGCAAGAATGTGCTATACATGTATCGTATTTTCTCTGTTGTTGTTTCAGTTGCCGTCATGTTGCTAAAGAAAGGTTCAGTGACTCATTTGTTTCATAAAAGACGAGTCAATGGTTTGGTCTGGCTTAGAATCTTTCGCTGTAGAAGAAATCCATTCGTGTCTCTATTGGAGAAATAATTGTATTCACTCGTTATAAAATAGGGTTAACACAAACTCACAGAGCAAATGCCATCGGTCCCTTGATGTTCGTCCTAAAGAGGTTTGACTGGATATCATTCATACTCCCCCGAAGTCGTGTAACATTTTACTATTATGGAGTGCCTTGTTTATCTCTCAGTACCTAAAACCATATATCCTTGCCCCTTATATCCTCAGGATCAGTGTAGTTGTTGGAACGAGGTGTCGGACTCAGCGATGTATTTGTTTACATTTTAATGCATGTTTATTGCCCCTACTTTGCTGTGTTGTTTTAGACAATCGTGGACACTTTGAAGTCACTGAACTGCTTCCAAAAGTTTTATCGACATCAACAGGATTACGATTTCACTACAATATGATGCTGGATGACCTTATCACGACAACCCATGACTACAATTATAAACACAGAATCAACAAAAACATCTGCGGCACACACCTGGTTACAATTCTCAAGTAAATGTGATTTAGGGTGTGGACATCTGAATTTTCTGAAAGACAAGACAATTTTATGACAGTCATGAAATTCTGCAACATCCACAGAATGATTTGCGTATAAAAAAAAGTATCACCACCACGACCCATATGATTCCCCTGCAGAAGAACATGAATACATGTATGCAAGACTAGTTCCATTTTCTGCAAGAAAAGGCTTGCACATCAATGCGTATAATACGGTATTGAATTTGATATGATACACATAGGGGCTCCCGTAAGAAGAACATTAGGTCTGTGGGAAACACCCTAGTAAAATAATAATAATAATAACATGCAGAGGCGCTACATGTAGGCCATCATTAGGGCAATACATTGGTTACACAATTATATCCTTTAGCCAAAAAAACAAAAGAAATTATAGCAATAAAAACTGCTTTATGGCAGTTTTCTAAAAAAAGTTATTGTGTTCTAGTCCATGGACCTCGTCTAAAAAGTAAGAAATTAACGAAATGTGATAGCCGAAAATTAAAATTTCACACAAAACCTCACAATAATCACACACAGGATGCGAGACGACCTTTTCCCCTCGTGCAGTCCATCCTCGGGCCTCAAGCGTTCGATCGAGACTTACACTGATTTTTGCGATCTTTTTCTTGAGAACGATTCTCACCCTGAAATGACTTTCGGCGACTGACGTGAAAGAACACTCATGACACCCACCTCGTCGAATGGAGCATGCATTGTTTGTGGTGTATGGGTGCAGGAAGGTGGTATGTTCGCGAGGTGCATATCGAAAATGATCCGAAAGACTTTGTGATGGTGCCATTCGGCGGAGAACATTTGAATTTTTCGTACGATTCAGAGCAGTCGGCGAAAACGAGCCAGTAACCTGAAAGGAGGGCGTGAACAGGTGTAATTTTCGACAATGTGGTTGCCCTCGACCCTGCTCTCGGACATTCGAGTAATGGTTATGGCAAAATCGATGGTGCTCCAGGTTTTTCAGACGCATTTCTTGACCATACCCAATTCCGTAGGTAAACCTGTGCACAGAAAGCACACAAGAGTTCAAACTAACTCCACTCTATTCAGTTCACGTGTTTTCCACAGATCCAAAACCCTCCTGGGACCAGGAAAGTGGACAATACGCTGGAGTATAGACGTGCACACTGCGAACACGCCCACGCGCCACTCCTGCACACCCGTGTCGGACATCACATACTGGCCATGTCACGGTGCCGCAGACGTAATGGGCGTGCCCCACACGCTTGCGTTACACACGTTTAGATCCTACATGCACACGTGGAGCACAAACATGTCAAACATGCGTGCCGCGGATGCACACACATTGTTCGTACATGCCGGATACACTTCGCATACATCACATGTGTGTGCGCGCACGTGCCACACCGTCGGAGGAATACAAACGAGCACGGATACGCACATATGAGAGTACCTCACCAACAAAGCCTAGCCAGGTTCGCACTCGGTTTCCCTATCAACAATAATTTCTGGCTAGAACAGTGCAGTAGCAATAGCCGAAACAGATAGAACGCAACACGGGTGGCCGAGCAAGTGACATACAGCATAAACAAGACAAACGTACTTTGTACATTCACACAGTCAACTTCTCTAATAACCACTGCGTATATAACGACAATTCACAAATATTCCTCAAACTCAGAGTCAAAGGAGAAGTGACGCGTGCATCGTAGACCGTTGAAGTTCGTGTGAATGCATCAGACACACACATGTACAGGACACTTTGCATTTTTCAAACTGAAACCGTATACATAAGCATGCGTGCGCGTGTGTGTGTTTGTGTGCGGGGGGGGGGGGGGGGGGTACGTGTACGTGTGAAGAGCAAAAACCAGTACTGATAAATTGATAATGCAGGCCAAGCAGAGAGGAACGCAAAGCAGACAATCACCTCTACATTGTAATCTCCTACAAATAACACATACATATACATGTAGCTTCATAAGCAGAAAACGAGATATTGTGAGCGCGACAGACCCACACACACACACACACACACACGCGCGCGCGCGCGCGCACACACCCCCCCCCCCCCACAGACTAGGGTCCGGCGGATTCTGCCGGCAGAAAATTGGCAGAATTCGGTACTTTTTCTGGTAAGTTTCATGCATGTTTGGTATGTGGATAAAGAAATGGAGCAGAATTCGAGGAATTGCCCGCCATAAGGTTTGTATGGTTCTGCCAATTTCACTGCTTTTCGAGCAGAATCTGCCACCTTTTCGAGCAGAATCCACCGGTTCCTACCACAGACACACACCACGAGACCATAAATCTGAAACGGCATGCATTTTGACACACACACAGTCACACACACACAACACACACACACACACACACACACACACACACACACACACACACACACACACACACCACGAGACCATACATCTGAAACGGCATGCGTTTCGACAGGCTTTAGAAGGCCACGAGTTAGGTGATCCACATCAAGGCAATACGCACCACCAGCCCAGCTACATGTACCGATATCTCATACTAGACAGCAACTGAACGCGGCACACATACTACACACAAGAGCGCGTACAGCGGCAACTTTCTACTTATGCTTGCGGTTGTCGAATACAGCATTGACGACACACCGAGACACACAGAGGAACACAAACTAGGGTCTACAATGTACATGTATACACAGCTATGCGTTTGCGTGTTTTCATTCTCCCTTCAAAGGTTTATGTATACGGCATGTATGATTTATGTTGCTTGAGTACGCCCACTTTGAAGGTCGAAGTTGGATTATACAGGGCGTGAACAGGTGAGATTTTTATGTCTAGCTGTTAATTACCCTTACCTTAGCCCACCAAGGATATCGGAATAATCAAACTCGATGGTGCTCCAACTTCATTTCGACGTAGAAAATTCGCTGTTTGAACATCTCAATTTCAAAGGGTAACCACTGATTTCGATGTGAAAAACGTTTCCTGATCGCCATAAAAAAATTCCTGCCGACACACACCATAACAAGCTCCAAGTTCACAAACAGTGGCCACAAACGGTTGCTCGTCATGAAGGTGGTTCGACACTTTCGACCAAATTCGTTCACTTCCGTATTCAGTTGACAATTATTTTTTGCCGTCATCAAGACTTATTTGGGCCCAAAAGCGCAAAATCAGTGTAAGTCTCGATTAGTGGCAGAGATATGTTTTTTGCACGCTTGAGGATGGACTGGTGGTCCTCTTTCATATTATGCAAGCATGTTGGCGCAGTACATGTACTTGTATAAGTACAAGTGTCGGAATAAACAAGACAAGTGTTGAAAGCCGTACTATTAGATCTTCAAGTGTCGTGATTATTGTGAGGTTTTGTGTGAAATTTTAATTTTCGGCTATCACATTTCGTTAATTTCTTACTTTTTAGACGAGGTCCATGGACTAGAACACAATAACTTTTTTTAGAAAACTGCCATAAAGCAGTTTTTATTGCTATAATCTACTCTTGCTGCCAGCAAGAGTACATAAACCAGAGTGTGCAACTCGGGATGGTTCCTGTGGGAGCGTAATTCGTGCACTACGTCATTTCTGACGGCATGGTAAGCCACAGGTACGGTGAAAAGTTGCGTAACCAGTCGCGGTGGTGCAGTTCACTGAGTTTGTCCTGATTTCGGTTTTTTGAGACGGATAGCCTGGTGACTTTACTTGTCGGTGGATGTACGCAGCGTACACAGTCACACAAAACACCGAAATCCTGAAACAGGACGTCTAAAATCAAGCAAACTTGGCTGATTTCCGGGCTATGAAACATGAAAATTCGAGCTGTACGCAAGTCGCGGCTTGGCTGACCTCATCAGGGTGACATAGTGCACGAACTGCGCTGTTTCAGATCTGATATGCACAGTTGCACACTCTGGTTTATGTACTCTTGCTGCCAGGCATAAACCAGGGAGTCGTAATGTTACGACTCCTCGGCATAAACCATCCAGCAAGCACATGTCACTACAGCCCATTTCAAAACTATAGACGCGTAGATCTACCTAGGCAAAAGCCGGTATGCCAGCATCTATACCACATAAAATCTGTGATCACTTTGTGCATAATTTTTTCCAAATTGGGCGTCTGTTATCCAATCGTTCAGAAACTATATGAGTGTAATTGTGGAGCGATCCTGAGCAATATTCCGAAAACTATTCTCAAAAAGTTCCAGCCAAATTTGAAATATTTCAAAAACCCTACGCGTCTATAGTTTTGAAATGGACTGTAGCAATTTAGTTACCACACAACCTCCACTCAGCTGCAGATCAGCCCGATCAGGATTATTATGACATTTTCTTGACATGCTGCGTAAAATAATAATAAAAAGTTAAAAAAACCTCCGATCACCCACATGTACGTACCCACGGCACGGAGATATCAAAAGAACGTCTGCAGACAGTGCAGTAGAAGGCACTACTAAGGTTGAATCCAGTACATGTGTGTGTAGAATGGAAAAAATAGGCCTTTTTGAGAAAGGACTCGGAACAATTGCTAAAAATAATATTTAAAAAAAAGAAGAAATCTGAAGACAAGCTGCACGTGGACGGCTGGGCATATAACGGTGGCGCACATGAGCACCAGCTAACAACAAAAAAGGCCTGCTTGGCATATATTTAAAAAAATACCGAGGATGGCGTGTGGCACCTTGAATGAATGGATCATGGAGCCAGCTATTACACATTGAGAAGTAAAAATTTAAAAATAAAAAAATAAGAAAAAATCTGGGATAACAAGTTCATTAGGATAATCAGTTGAAAAAAGAACAAATCTGGTGAGTTCTAGTTTGATGTGTGAGTAAGATCAATTGACAAGCTTGAGCTTAGTCCTGGCATAAAGCATCTGGTCAATCTGCGTTGTCGCTGCCGTCACCTGCTGATCCCCCTGATCCGGGTGATCCACCTGATCCGGCTGCTGCTCCACCTGCTGCTCCACCTGATCCGGCTGCTGCTCCACCTGATCCGGCTGCTGCTCCACCTACGGCTGCTCCACCTACTGATCGACCTGCGCTACCACCACTGGAACTTCCTGACCCGTCTGTGCTACTGTCACTCGAACCTGTTGATTCACCTGAGCTGTCGGAGCACTGGCCACTTGACGACCCCTCTGCACAACCAGAAATGCTGGCTTGGTCATCTTGGTCGACGATGGGATTAGCAAAAGCATCCTGGCCATCTTGGTCAAGGGTGGTGTAGTAATCACTATACGAATCCATGTAGGAGGATGGTCCAGGTTGGTCGTTCACCTTGAAGAAGAGATGCAGAAAATCGTTTGCTTTTTCCACCATAGTCGTCTCCAGGGATGCGTGGTCAAAGATATCACTATCAAAGCTAACAGTATTGTGGAAGAAGTTGTAGAAGTGCCAGACGAAATGATCCCACTTCTCGGTCACGTAGTCGAACTTCTCAGCCTCGGCGATGGCGTTCTTGAGGATGATGTGGTGGATGAGGACTCGCTTCTTGTCGGCAATGTCCGTGTCCTTCAGAGCGTCGTACAAAGTATCCATTGCCAAGTATTTGTACTTGTCGACGAAGGACTTGATGGCCGAGCCCAGCTCCACCTCGACGCTGTCCCTGGTCAAGGCCGTGAAGTCGTAATCGTCCTGGTCATCGCTGCTGTACTCCTTGAGGAACGTGCTGACAAACTGGCCGGCAAGTGGCGTGATCATGAGCTCCGAGTACAGCTCGTGGCTGATCTGCTTGCGATTGCGGGCATTGCGAGCGGCGTCGTGCATGAGGTGCGCCGCAAAATAGAACATGGCCTTCTTCAGCTCCTCGCCAAGCTCCGCCGTCTTGCCGCCCTGCAAGAACTGGTCGTACAGGGTGCGGATGTTCTGGAACTTGTGCTCGCCTCGCCGCGCCTCCGTGTACCGGATGAACTTGTGCAGCTCCTCCTGGAGCCTGGAGCTACCTGCTTCGGTGAGATACTCGACGGCTTCAATGAGCGGCTTGGACTCGAGCGACACGCATCCCGGGTAGTAGACGTGGCTGGCCACGCGGCGACGGAATCCGAGGACAAAGTTGTGCTCGGTAACGCCGGTGAGGCCGTGCGACGGCAGGTCGGCCTTCTTGGCCAGGGCGGCAGCGTAGTCCAGCAGCGCGTTGAACAGGACCAGCCAGCGCTCCTGCGTTACGGTGCTGGCGGTCTTGGTCTGATCCCGCTTGTGCCGCAGGATGGCCAGCTGCGTGTCGGGGTCCTTGGCCAGTGAGCGGAGGTACTTGTCCACGTTGGCGTTGGGCATGCGATACGGCGCCTCGGCAAACACGGGATAGCCGCCGTCCGGGACGCACGTGGGCTCGCTGCCGCGCATATCCGAAGTGCTGCTGCGACGTCGGTCCTTCTTGGTCTCGGGCTGCTGGAGATTGCCTGCTGCTGCAGGCTTATCGCCGCCAGCAGCAGCAGCAGCGTTGGGCTTGGGGGACCAAATGTCGAAGAACGGGTGGACGGACGCCATCATGTACTCGGACGCCTTCTGGACGGTGTTGATCTCAGCGATGTCCTTCAGCTTCTTAGACAGCTTTTTGTCAGGAGGCGGCAGGATGAGGCGCTGGCGCAGGTAAATAATGTAGTCGCCGCAGAAGTCCTCCTCGGACGTGATCTGCTTCGTCTGCCCAGTCAGGGCCAGCTTGGCAATAAGGTGGTGGGTGGCGTAGAGGCGAGTGAACTCGTTGCGATGGCTCATCATGGTGGTGAGGGTGTCCAGACTGACGTACTGGAAGGTGCGCAGGTACTTTGCAACGCTGGCCCTCAGGTCCTTCTCCTGCATCTCGGGCCCGGTGTAGAAGACGGTGCGCACGCTCATGTTCATCATGCAGCTGTAGAAGAAGTACTCGTCGTACAGCAGGTGCAAGTGCTTGGTGTGCTTGCGCTGGTCATTGCGCACGATGGCGTTGGCCATGCTCGTGATCACGCCGACCAGCTTAATGTCGCCCGCGTCGCCCGGCTTCAGGAAGGCCTCGTGGACCTCTTCCAGAGTTGCTTTCTCCAGCTTCATAGCGAACCATCCTTCAAACTGCGTTTCCAGCATAGTCGCCAAGGTGGCGTTCAGGCAGTTCGGATCATTACTCTGGAAGCCCTCCTGCTGGTAGAAGTCCACGAATTCCACCGCATATGGCGTGCAGCAGCCGGGTTGGTTGACCACGGAGCGGAAGAAATCGCGAGCAAACGCCACGCTGTAGCGCTCCTGGTGGACGAGCTCCTTCAGCTCTTCGGACTGGTTCTCGTATATGTCGTAGGCAAAGCGCATGGCGTAGCGCAGGGCGGCGTCGTAGTACTCTCTGCTGCTGCCACTCACGTCGTCGTAGAGCTTGAGCAGGGTGAACTTCTTGACCATGTTCAGCATGTTGGACCAGGCGTCCTGGCTGCGCCGAGAGCTGGCGGGCACGAGGCCGACGGGGCTGTCTCCCTGCCCCTTCGGCTTGGGCGACAGGACGTCAATGGTGTCGGACGGCTCTGCTATTTGCTTGGGCTTCATCTTCTCGATGCGCTGCACACAGACACATGCACACACAGAGACGTACACACACACACACACACACACACACACACACAGTCACGTCGAGAGCAAGAAATTGCCAAAAAGACACTGACTGCACCTCGCTGTGTTAGCCAGACAGGGAACAGGAAGATACGATATCGTTCCAACATTCTACAGTTGTGCTCAATGAAATCCGACCCGAAGTGCAAATTTGGCGCCCACAACTTGCACGGCCCTTGACCTGGCCCTGGAAGTGGTACGAACGCGACTGGACTTCCACATATACAAGTATAGTCATGTAACCAGAACTGGTCCAGGGAGTCAGTTGTGTGCTTTGGGTTGGAATTCAGTGAGCGCAGCTGTAATACGCACAGCCACTGTGTGTGTGTGTGTGTGTGTGTGTGTGTGTGTGTGTGTGTGTGTGCTAGTACAATAAAACCGGTCATGGCGACCAGTTAGAGCAGGCGCCCTAGAAGACCACTGCAACTCCACTAATTACATGTATGTCCCGGCCCGCCGAATGACCCTGAAAAAGGAGGCCACGTTTGAAGGTCCCCGGAGCAGTTATCTTACACAGGTTTCCCTGTAGTGTGCACACACCCCCACCACCCCCCCCCCACCCCGAACACACAGAGAACACAAGTACAACCGGCGGCACTCACCTCGAGGAAGCCAATCACCGTGGCGTCCAGCGAAAGACCGGCGGCCGTCTTGATCTCGTTGTGCGTGGCTGTCACGCCGGCCTGAAGAATCTCCTTCCACGTCTTGCCAGTGTTGCCGGCCACGGCGTCAATAGTGATCTTCTCAATGGCCTCCGAAGGCCCCTCTTTGTTGCTAGCACTTTGCTTGTTGTCCCCGGCCAGCTCGCCGAGCAGGCTGATCGTGTACTTGTCGACGAGAGCCCAGGTGTCCTGGTCTTCGGCGGACGCGGCTTCGATCTGGTACTCCTTGGGTGACTTGACGACGGCCAGCTCCACTCTCTGCTTGGTAGCCACGTTATGCGACTCCATGGCATACAAGTAGCAGATGGCGTGCACCTTCTTGTCATCGGACGGGTCGGCCAGCAGATTGAGAAGACTGTTGGTCGTCACGTAGGTCAGTTTCTTGAGCACCTCGCGCGTGCCCTTCGTGAAGGCATTCTGCGTGGCGGGCATGTCCTCGAGTGGCATTGCCCTGACGGCCTGTCGTTGCGTGTACTCATTGATATCAAGCAGGGGATGTGTGGTGATGCTGTGCACATCGTGTGCAGCATCGGCCAGCACGCGCTGCACGTTGAGGACGTAGCAGAAGCGCACGGCAGCATCCAGCAGACCGCCGGTTTTCTCGGCGAAGTCCTTCAGCTGGATGTAGCTCTTGAAGTTGGCGATCTGCTTCAGTCGCTGAATGACCGCCTTCTCCTTCAGATCAACGGTGTCAACCTTGTCCTCCGCGTCATCCTGCCGACAGTCAACACAAGATGTACAGGAGTGGTGTTAAAAATGGATATTTTGGATGATCCCACCCATTCCTTACATGTATGCACACCCGCACGCTATTCAATTGCACATATCTTCCCAAAAACCCCAACATATCAACTTCTGCGACACACGAGTGCAGAATCAAGAAGGCAGCTCAGTGCGGAAGTGTTCCCTTGGAATATCAGTTCCTCGCGGCCGCTGGGCTCGCTGATGCTAAAATGTCCCTTTCATGCACATTGCAGCAACAAACCAGGATTTCTAACCCAGCGCAACCTCCGTAGCACAAATGTTGCCGGATTATAATGGGACCACCGTATATCGACTTCTGCTATGCACAGGTACATGATCAAGAAGGCAGCTCAGTGTTCCCTCAGCCCACGACGGAAGTGCTCCTTCAGAGCACGAGGTTTCTTACGGTCATCGGGCTCACTGACGCCAGAGTGCACACGGTGTTTGCCAAGGATCAACGCGGGCAAACAGCGCATCCATTCCAGGCACAGTGGTAAACGCAGAACAGCGGACCATAGATACATGCACTTTCAGAGTTTTCTTTTGCACCTGGCGAACCGATACTGTGTGGCCTATGGCAACGCTCAATAGTTAATACACACCCACCAAATCACAACAGTAGGGTTAAGATGCCCCCCCCCCCCCATGTACAGTAAAACCTAGTTTAAGCGACCACCCCACGGTGCAAGCAAAAGCGGTCGCTAAAGCCAGGTGGTCTTTAGAATCAGGTCCCACAGTTCATGTGTAGAACTGCCCGTGCAAGGAAAACGGTCGTTAAGAGCAGGTGATCGCTAAACCCAGAGGTCGCTTACACCAGGTTTTCCTGTAACTTGGCATGCGTAACCTCCCCACACACATAACTGTACAACCGGAAAGTCAAACGAGTCACAAAGTCTGACGTTTTAACGACCATTTTTTTTCGTTATTTGAAGAAACGTTTTAAAGGCGAACCCGGTTTGATATGTCTTGTGTCAAGATGCGCATACAGATGGGTGGCCAGGTAGCCATCGTTAAACTTTCTGCGCGTTTTCATGCCAAAATTCCAAAAAACATTCAACTTTTTTGTCGGTAAACTTTCCGGTTTTACAGTATTCTTTCATATACTAGTGTCGTACTTACAGGCTTTGCTGACGAGTCGTTGCCGTCCAGCACCCAGCGCCAGAAGGTACCCATAGCATCTGCGTCCTTGGGCTGGAACTTCTTTGCAAGCTGCAAGAAGCCAGGCTGGAGCTTGCTGGACGGGATGATGGAACCGAGGACGATAAGGACGAACTGCTTGACGAGATCCTCACCGTTCACCTTGCCGAGCATGCCCAGGATCATCTCGATGAAGTCGACGTTCTCGTACGTGGTGCGCAGAGTCGTCTCGAAGAGCTGCAGGAGCGGATGGATGATGTCATATTTGTCTGTCTTGGCCGGCTTGGCCTGTTGCTGGTCGGATGGTATTGGCTGCACGGGTGGCTTCGACTTGACGCCGGCCATCAGGATGGCTCTGGCGATGTTGAGCAGGTAATGAAGGAGTCGCGTGTTCCTCTCCGCTTTCAGCGTGTCGTTGTCGCTGATACTGGTGACTTTGTCGCTGATCTTGATCACGTCCTTGGCGCTAGTCAAGCGCAGCTCCAGTTGGTAGAAGGCGTCCCAGGTCTCCTGCACTCGGCCCTGCACCTCGGCGCCACGCTCGACCTCCAGCCCCAGGTTCTCCAGGGTCGAGACGTACCTGCCAGCGCACACGCTGGCACTGATGCGCGCCCAGTGCATGGTGCCGAGCGAGTGCACCTGCAGGCCCAGGAAGGCGATCTCCTCGACCATCAGTGTGTCATTCTCGGTCAGCCCGAACACGTTCTGCTTGCGCACCAGCTGGAGGGCTTCCGCCGGCGCTTCTGCCGCTACGATGTCGTTGCCGATGCGATTGGCAACGTCCGCCACCAGTTTGGCGAGGCTGTCGTCCGTGTAGTAGTGATGATAGACGTCCTTCTCTCGGTCAGCGGCAACAATTGAGCGGGCCTCGTTGTACACGTATGCCTGGCGCAGGTAGGCAACATGCTCCGGGAATTCCTTCTCGCGCTCCGCCAGCATGTCCACCGACCACTCGACAGCAGGGTTGATGAGCGACTGCACACACGAGAGAAGACAGACAGATAAGGGACGCAGACACGACAGTCGGTCAGGTGCAAGCGAGCGCGTGTGTGTATGCATGTGTGTGTGTGCACGCCAGAAAAAGCCACTTCAATCAGCTGTGTGGTGGATACCAGGCTAAAATTAGTGGTGGTCAATTCATCAGCCTTGCAAGCTGTTGAATGGTGTAATCCCAGCACAACTTGCTAAGTCTAAACATAGCTGTTCGCTATCATCGCTTCTGCGATGGGCATGTCTGAGTCTGAGTGTGTACGTGCATGTGCGTACGCATGTATACCGGGTGACTTCAGAATAAAAATACATTATGGGATCTACAGGTTACATTTAATTGTTCAAGCACACCGCATTATACCCACTGTTTTACTATGGCCCAGGCATCTGGTCTTGGTGTTGCAGAGCCAGGGGGGGGGGGGGGGGGCATCATTTTTGATCTACAGGCTTGGGTAGAAACTACTTCTGCAGTACTTCTTTCGGTAGATGTGTTCCTTCTTTTTGTACCCAGAAGAGTAGGTTCTACCTTTCTCTGCCGGCTCAACCCGGTTTGAAGCTGGTAGAAGTCGGCAGAAGCTGGTAGAGGTACGGGATTTGCCAGTGTGAGTAAGTATACATCACTGCAGGAGTTGAATCTCGAACGAGGCACAATGTTTTCATGCCACTCAATCGTATCTAATCCTTTTCTCCTCTGTACTGCTGGACTTCGTGCCCGCTTAGTGAAATTACAAATCGTTACTCATCAAACTCTTACAATCCTCGACGAGGCATATGTGCATAAGGTATACATACATGGGGGGGAGAGAGAGTGAGAGAGAGAGAGAGAGAGAGCGTGAGTGAGAGAGAGTGAGAGAGAGAGAGAGAGAGACACACACAGCCAGAGAAGAGAGCTACTTACAGTGTCGTAGATGATCTGGTTGAAGGCTACAATGTGGTCCTCGTAAATCTTCTCCAAGCAAGCGTCAGTGGTGTCCCTGTCCTGCATGTAGTGTTTGATGAAGTCCTCGATGATTACCACTCTCCCCGGTAGATTCGGCTTAGCGTTCGGCTTAGTGTTCGGCTTAGTGTTGGCTAGGCGCGTTTGGATGCACTGGTGGTAACAAGCAATGAGGGACAAGACCAGGTTGACGGACATACGCTCGATGGTGACTGCATTCTTCAAGGCCGTCTTGTAGTGGCCAATGTTGGGCAAGACGTGAGCGATGGCGTATGCCTGAACGTTGCGTAGCTGGTTGACGCCGGACGAGTTGCGGATCTTGCCATACAGCTCGTCGCCGTCGGGTAGATACGCGACCGGGTCGGTCAACAGTATGTCCTGCACCAGGTGACGCAGTTCGGTCACCGAGTTGTCGCTGACCGACATGCCGAACGCGACGACATCATCATCCTCCACCACCACGTGCTGGTTGGCGAACGCGCGGAAGTAGTCTGTGGTGAAGAACACGTGCACAGGCGTAAGATAGGGCAGTACTTCGATCAGCGCCTGGGCAGTGTCGACGATGTACTCCACGAAATGATCCTTTAGGATGTTTTCTCCGCCCGGTACCAGCTTGTGTTTGTAGTGGTTCAGCTCCTTCTGGACCTTTTCGGAGTCCATACGACGGTTCAGGTAGTAGGTGGAATCACGGACACGCTGGGACTTCAGCTTCTGCTGCTGTTGTTTGCCAGCACCGCGATTATTAGAGTCACTCTTGCTGCGATTGGCTGGTTTAGCTTGGGACGGGGACTTTGCTGCCTTGGCATCCTTCCTGCCAGGGGAGCTCGACCGGCTGCTGCGCGGTTTCTTCTTCTCGCTGCCGGCAGAGCTCTTGGCAGCGGTGGCCTTCTTCGGTATGCTATCCTTGCTGTCCTTGCCAGCGGTGGGCTTCTTGCCTTCCTGACTCTTGCTGATCTTGCTCTTGTCAGCCCTGGCAGGGCTCTTGCTGCGGCTCTTGCTGCGGCTTTTGCTACGACTCGACCGTTTCGGCTGCTTGGACGATTTTCGTCCGCGCGCGGCCGGATCGTAATCGCTGTCCTTCTGCGCCTGAATGCGCGCCTGGCGAGTTTCCTGCTTCTCGAAGAACTCGATACGCAGCGCTTTCTGTTCAGGGTTGTTGGCGCCCAGTTTGACGCCATTCAGTTCATTTATGACCTAAGGCAGTGGGAAGAGCACAGGAACAAGATTCCATTGATGAAACGCACTGTAACGCCTGGGAGACACACTAACACGATACTATAACGAGTTGCAAACTTTAAACAAATATCGTTATTAGAAGGTAGGCTAACTATCTGGAAGTGTACAGGTATATCCAGCATAACACGTACTGGTATGTGGCATTATGACCCCAATGAAGTGCATACTTGCCAACCACACTAGTTTCCCCAGTATACTAGGGTAACTACTGGCACACCGGGGATTTTTTTTACATTGATCGGAAAACTACCGGACTTGGCACTGAACAGCGAGTGTTCAAAAAAAAAGGTTGTTTCGTGGTGTGACAAGGGCACATGCGGCCCTGCATTCGCGGAATCACACATGTAGGGGCGATATGATAAATGAAGAAACTCAGATTTTGGTCCCCCAATGAACATGTCACCCTTGTTGGGAGGTTTGTTAGCCCTTGTTGGCAGCTCCTTCCGCAAAGTTGCGCAAAAGCATGCCAAAAATTCTCAAAAATTGCGCCAAAAAGAGAAAATGGATGAAATTGGCGAAAACCAATAAAACCAGGGAAAGGAGAGATATTTAAGGGAAACTGGGCGTGTGACTAAGGGATTTGCTTTGGCTGGGTTGGCAAGTATGGAAGTGTGTTTTATAACGACGAAATTTCATACGTTAGATTAGCGTTCCCGTTATATTTTTCTATGTCTTACAGTAACCGAAAGCATAGTGGAGAAAGGGCAGAGCCGAGGGAAGATCTCAGCCAACGCTTCGGCCGACGGGTGCAGAACAGAAGAAAGTCCAGCAAACAGATACAAAAGGTGGAGGAACAACACGGTACGCGCAGAAGCAGATGCTTGCACATGCCATGCGAGCGCGCTCACACACACACACACGCACGCACGCGCAGGGACACAAATTACCCGGATCTGGTACGCACCTGCTGGGCTTGGATGTAGTAGCAGAAGCTGGCAAAGCCCTCGTATCCATGCGGGTTTTGATTTATCTCCAGGCGACGCATTGGACCGCCTTCCTTCGGGGCGAATCCAGTGACGGCGCGCTCAGCGGCACTGACGAAGAAAGCCTCGAGCTGCTTGCGGCCTTCGCCGGCAACGTAGTGCTCCGGGATGTTCTTGATGTGGATGTTGGTGGGGTTGCGCAGGAACGTCTTGTCCAGGACCTTGGTGGCATCGTTGAGCGGGCGCGTGTAGTTGGTGTGCTCGCAGCCGATCTTGCTGAGATAGACCTGCGCCTCGGCCAGGGTGGCTCGGTCCGGGAACAGGATGTGGCCGCAGCCGCGAGACTTGAACGCCTTGCCGTCCTTCGGCCGCGTCTCGGCCACGCGCACCTGCTCGACGAGCGCCTGTAGCTTCGGGTCGTCGTCGAACTGCTGGTACAGCTGCTGGCTGCTCTGGATGTCGCGCTTCTGCAGCTGAAAGACGAAGACGCCGCGCTCGCACATCTGCGCTTCGTACTGCAAGCGCTGCATCTTCTTCATGGCAAAGCTGTAGATTGTCAACGCAAGGTTGAAAGGGAAAAGGGTCACAGGGAAATCTCATGCAAATTGCAGCACAACTGGAAGTGAACAGAAACCAGATGGTCTTTTGCACTTTGCTGTTAATGTCCTTTTAATAGCGCATACACTCCCGAGAATAGTTCCCTCCAACCCCCCCCCCCCCTCCCACAGGTACGCACGCACACCTACACCTACACACAGACACCTACACCTACACACACAGACAGACACACACACCTACACACACCTACACACAAGGGCGCACGCACACACACGCACACACACACACACAGCCAGACAAGACAGGCTTGAACCAGCGGGTTTGCGTACATGTTGCGTCTCTCCTCTAGGTCGTACTCCAGGTCGATGCCATTCACTTTGACCGTGATCTTTGGCTGACCTTGAAAGATGTTCTCCTTGACGAACTCTCCAATATCAAGCCCGTTCAGAATGCTGACGGCCTTGCGCATACCAGACGCATCCTTGAACTTGACCTCGCCAGCTGATTCCTTGGACAGCGGGCGGTCATTTATCTTCGGCTGTGGATAGCGGAGGCACGGTACGCGGTTCTCGTCCAGTAGCTTTATCAGTAGGTCGTCAGTGAAGGCCGGATGCAGGTTGCTGATGTAGAGGATGTTGGCCTCGACGAACGTGTTGTTGTTGCGCCGCTGCGGGGATTGGCCGTTGAGAGCGCCCTGCTGCTGCATGATCTGCTCGAGGTTGCGAGCGACGCTGGGACTCAAGCCCTGGGCCACGAGCCCTTGGAAAGCCTGGCTCAAATTCTGTCCATTCCATGCCTGCATGTGGAGAAGAGACATGCATGAAAAGGTCACACGGAAACCAGACAGGGAGTAAACAAATTGCCATAGGAATTAAGTGCCAGATAAACTCCCTACGGTCAATTCAGATAACGGCTAGTTCTCCAAAAAGCAAGCCATAACAAGAATAGGATCCCGGCCAGGTTTTGCCATAGACTAGTAAGCACTGAATTGGGAAAGGCCAGGACAAAAACCAATTCGTTCACTCCACTTGCATAACAGTACATTGTGCGGTTCGAACTCCAGTTGAGGTACCTTTTTCGACCCTTCTTTTCAAATTTCAAAACTCGCGGCTCTTGTACAGAAAAATCACGAAAAGTCACCAAATATGGAAGCATGCCGGTGCCAGCACTCATCCTTTTTTATGAATGGACTGTAGTACCTAGTTGGCAGTGCACCAGCGTACATGTGCAGTATGCCTGGGGTCATTCTCAATGGGCATGGGTACACCGTACCGGGCCATACTCTACTGATTGTGCCCAGGTACGGCGCTGTTCGCATTGACCAAATGTTAGCCACGACCACGACCTGACAATAGGCACATTGCATGTATGACCTGCGTGTATGCATAAAACCGTATGATGGCGGCCTTTTGCTGGGCAACATGTCCCATATCTGGCATGAACAGCCAGCTCTAGTGCACTTACAAGTACACAGTTCACCACCTTTTCTGCAGGGCCAGTATTAGAAATCTGTGCAGCTGAATTGGACTACACGTAGCCCAGTGAAATCAAATGGCGGGAAGATTATGCGTGGTTCCTGTTGCCAAGGCTACATCACGCACGGAATGGTTTTTTTAAATGTCGTGCATATCACCTCTCAGAGACGGAAGAAATCTGTACAGGCTGCAAAGGTGTCAAAGTAAATAAGTAAGTAAGGAAAGGCATCCTGTACATGTTACCACTTTGTTGACTTTGCAGAGTATGGAACTTTTGCAGTGACTTATACTTATAGTAAAACAGCTATTTTATCAACTTGTGTGTGTGTGTGTGTGTGTGTGTGTGTGTGTGTGTGTGTGTGTGTGTGTGTGTGTGTGTGTGTGTGTGTGTGTGTGTGTAGCTATTTTATAATATAATAATTTTTTTGGGCCGGTGAAAACTTTAAAGGTTTACATCCCAGCTAGAATTTGTGAGGTAAATGTTTAGCACTCAGATGGCGAGCCAAATTAAATTTCACGGTTCGCGTGAGACTCGGCTGGAAGCCGGGCTTTCCGCATCCGTAGGAACGCCACCACCCCTCAAGGATCAAGGCGCAGATGCAGCTCCTAAAGCGGTGGGAGGTGAGTAGATCAGCTCACCGGCAATTGGTCAAAGACCGAAAATCCCATTCACTGCATCCTTGGTGAGCCAAGGAAAATACTAAATGGAAACAAGGAAAACGGCAGGGCCAAAGTTATGCGTTAGGTATCCATGGACCTTCCAAGTCGGAAGACCGTTGGTTAGCCAGGGTTCTAGCCAGGTCAATATAGTAGGGGGCGGGCATGGGAAAAAGTTACCCCATGACCCATTTTTTCCATTGTCCAAAATTGTCTTGCCATGCAAAATGTAACATACAGGGTGAACCCCCGACTTCACCCCTCACCAATGTGCCTTTATGAACCCTCTAGTTGTGACTATCTACTGTATTTTCGTTGAATGGCGTGAAAAAACACAAAAATCGGAAAATGAGTAGGGGGCGGCACTTTTTCACAGGGAGGCATGCAAACGGAGTAGGGGGGCGCTGCGCCTCCCTACCCCCTTTTGGCTAGAACCCTGGGTTAGCGCTATCAAGCAGTGCTCAAGCTCACTTCCTTGCCGCGGAATGTCTCAGTACTCCTTGTCAGTCCGGTGCTGCCTTGTGCACGTCTGACTGTGCAAAACCTAGTTTAATTAGTGAACTCCAACGCATAACTCGTGCCCCACCATTTTCCTTGTTTCCATTACATTTTTAGCGATCAGCATTTCATGTCAGAGGAGTGGGAGACTGAAGACTCATGCAACGCCCAGTTAGCGTGCCTACACTTTAACGAAAGCATTTCTTTTGCTAAAATAGCTAAACATTTCAACATCGCTATATTAAAACTTAGCAATCCTACAGTGAACGGTTTTTATCTTATTCTCCCACCCGGTGCTCACACAAACACCATGGCAACGGAGCGGCTGGATTGACGAGCATGCGTGCGAGGAAGCACTCACCTGGCCGCGTAGAGGCGATTTGCGTCTCGGCGAGGCCTTGCGTGCGGACTGCTGACGGCGCGGCGACGAGCTGCGACGGCTTGACGACGACCTCCGACGGCTCGATGACGACCTCGTGTGTCGTCGTGGCGACGAGCTGCGGCCGCGGCCACCGCGTGGCTTCTGTTGCTGTTGTGGTCCGGCGAATGTGTGGAAGCCGTGGTGGGGCAGTCGATCGTTGAACCCTGCCTGATTCTGGCCGGGCCCGCGCACTCGACGGATGGGGGAAGCCGCGTTTGGTGTGATAGGCTTACGGGGTGACTGCTACGTTCGGGAGAGTGAGGATCCAAACGGAAAAGAAAACAACAAGGTGTTAAATCAAATTTCATCCAAATTCAAAGAACAAAGAAATTAGCTTGTCCCTCTAGTATCGGTAGCTTAGGGGCTAGTAAATTAATAGAGATATCCATTTAAAGCAAAGTAAAGTTCGCACGTCCGCGTTACCACTGGTTATACAATTGCGTTGAGAAACACAACCAGCTTAGGAAGTTTCGCATGTCACGCCAGGCCACCACCATGCCTGTGATACCAGGGCGGCAGGCGCAGCTCCTAACGGCGAGGGTGAGGTGGTAAGTCTCACAACCAATGCCCGACAAGGGGGCGAACCTCGTTAGCTGCATCCATGTTACCCTCACACTCCGAGTAGTGCGTACCCAGTTGACACCGTGGGTAATTAGAAATAAAATTAGTTGTTTAGGGGGAGGGGGTTGAGTGCCTATTCGTTTCTCGAAAAATATCGACGTACTCATCGATAAATATTTTAGTGTTTACGGATGGCCCCTTATTGGAAATCAAGCAAAGAGTGCTAGCTACATTGAAGCCCCTTCCTTGAATCGAATGCCACAAAGCTAAGTATAATGTTGTCATGTACTAGTATGTACAGCAGGCACATTTCCAGCTCTTTCCTGTTGCAGCAGTCGAGTGGAATGACGCCAATTTGGTGATCAGTCCTCAGGTCGAGTCATGCTTTTACAGTCCTATTGATCTGAACACAAGACCTAACTTCAGCTATCCAGTATCGATCTATCAAACAACGTCGGTCCCTGCCGGATAACTGACAACCAACTGGAGTTCTACCTGCATTCGAAAGAGCGAATGCAGGAGTTGTCCATCTACAGACAGCCGAGTTGCCTATCATACTACTTGTAGTAATCTATTCCTGACTCCATTATGATCTACATGTACTTCGTACTCGTGGGTTCCCGAGATCAACTAAAGAATGCTCCCGGGTTCAAAGTTCAACACATTCAAATACTGACAGCGCGCTCATGACCTCTTGTACTGGAAGCTTTCTTCTTGTTCCATAAATCAACTCCCATGGCCAAAGGGTTTGACTATCAACAAAGAGTACAACACCAGAGCACACGAACACATTCGACGACTATGTACTTACTTTTGGCGTGCTTGCCATGTCGATTCAGTGTAAATAGGTGTGGGCAGTGAGAAAGTATAGCCGTTTGTGGCAGCTGCAGAAGAGAGAAAACCTTTGGTTCTGCTACGAGGAATCCTGTTGCGGGATGTTCACGTCCAGAAGTTGGGCTGAGAGAGAGAGAGATGGGATCGAGTTTCTGGTAGTAGTAGGGATCTGAATCGATTTGTCTTGTCCTAGAAAGGCTCACAAATTTGAGCCGTTAGAATACGCTGGGGGTACAGAAACGACTGTGCTGAAAAGCGGCAACTGGTCCTGAAGTTTCTTGATTTCGAAACAAAAGGCGTCAGCGACGACTTCAGCAGTGGAATCTGGAAAGGTGGGAGTTTCTCCTGCGGCTGAAATGCTTTCAAATATTGAAACTATTCCAAACCAAGTGGCGATAACTCACTCTTTGCCGGCAAGCAAATGCAGCGCAATAAATGTCTGGCCAATCCGTTGTTTTGATTGAATAACTTTGATTCGAAAAGCCGTTGCCTTGTTGTTTTTGACTCCTGCATGCCGAGGCAAATCGCCAGGGAGATGTGCGTAGCCTTGGACTGGTACAACCCCGTACGGTGTACATGTACCGTACACATATCCCACAGCGCGACCTTGTGTGCAAAATGGCCTGATCAACACGGAACTAATTACTTGCACATGATGAAGATCTGATGATGATGATTGATGAGCTGATCTCGTCTCCACAAGGTTACCGTACCGTAGCCATGGTACGATACCGTAATCATGATCAAAGTTGGGCAAGGAGAAGTGAAGAAGTGAAGTGAAGAGTTCAAATGTTTAAAATTACTCTACCAACTCAGACTGGTAGATAGTTCTTCTGACCAGGCAGCACATCGTGACAAATACATGTATCTCCATGTCTGTGCCTGTGGTATCAGATGCCACCAAATGGAAGCAGTAGTAGAAGAAAAAGAAAAGGTGGAGAGTCCTATAATTTTCACTAGTTTGAGGGAAAGAGACAAACGGGAAAAGTCTGAAGAAAAAATTGACTGTCACCACCAGGACTCGAACCAGGGACCCTCGCTTGTAGCTAGCGATGCTCTAACCACTGAGCTATGGTGTAGTCGTCATCCCAGCAGGGACTGTTCAACACTTTCTTCAGACTTCGTAACTCACACTTCCTGTGAATCCACACAGGCGGGTGGGACGCAGCCCTCACTGTACCCACACACTTCACGTACACTCTAGCACGCGGGGAGCCCCAAGTCATAAAATCTTCACTAGTTTGAGGGAAAGAGACAAACGGGAAAAGTCCTATAATTAAAGGGGAAGTATACCCTAAAATCAAATTTTCACCAGTTGTAGTCTTCGGGGTGCTGAGTCGAATGGTCTTGGTCCGAGGAAGCTGCGACGCTCCCTTCCTACTTGAATCCCAATCGAACTCGCGCACTTCCACCGAAACTGGGTGACTGCGCCCTACTAGATGGGGATTTGTATGCAAAATGTCACTAAAAGCGCCATTTCGTTCTTATAAAAGCACGGATGACCGCGATTGGCTCATATGTTGTAGTCTTTTGGACGCTGAGTCGACTGGTTTTGGTCCGAAAAGGCTGCGATGCAGCGTTCCTCCTTTATTCCCAATCGAACATGGTTGAAGAAGCGGTCACGTGGTCCTGGTTGCCCAAATCACCTGGTCACCGCGCCAGCAGGCGACAACTTTCACACCAAGGTTCAACTCGAGTGACAGGACTGCACCCAAAAAAGGTCAAACAGGCTAGTAAGTTGTACCCTGCAGGCACGGTGACCAGGTGACTGGTGTACGCAGGAGCACGTGACCGCTTGTTCAACCATGTTCGATTGGGAATAAAGGAGGAACGCTGCATCGCAGCCTTTTCGGACCAAAACCAGTCGACTCAGCGTCCAAAAGACTACAACATATGGGCCAATCGCGGTCATGCGTGCTTTTATAAGAACGAAATGGCGCTTTTAGTGACATTTTGCATACAAATCCCCATCTAGTAGGGCGCAGTCACCCAGTTTCGGTGGAAGTGCGCGAGTTCGATTGGGATTCAAGTAGGAAGGGAGCGTCTCAGCTTCCTCGGACCAAGACCATTCGACTCAGCACCCCGAAGACTACAACTGGTGAAAATTTGATTTTAGGGTATACTTCCCCTTTAATATCAAGAGTAGATAAACAAGAGTGTGCAACTCCGCATGGGTTGGCCCACGGCGGAATTTTTTGTTGACGTAATCTTTTCGACGACGCACGCGCTGCGAGCCTTTTGGAGAGTTTTCCCTCGTGCACTTGGCTGGGCTTTACACTGCAAGGTCGGTGCCCAGCACGTGCTCTCACACTGCTCTGCTGCGGCAAAGCCGCGTTTCTCTGAAAAAAGGTGACGTAAACAAAAAATTCCGCCGTGGGCGCGGGGTATCTGCAGATTGTGCAGGAGAGATCCGGAGTTGCACACTCTTGTTTATCTACTCTTGTTAATATTTTATCAGTTTCGATTTATTTGACTTCAAAACTTCAAAGTGAGGCTTCAACCTCCAATCAATGGTCATATTGCTGCTCCAATATAAAACCTTGGAAAGTAGCAAAAACGGGATATATATCACAATTCGCTGGGGGTAAGGCTTTCACACACTTTTTGCTAGCCTGGTGCTTGTACCACCATGGTTTGTGGCTATCTTCGAAAACACGGGCCTTTGGACCGCTTTGAATGCCCATTGCTCAGTGCAATGACAGCATCATAAGTTGCAGTATTTCCTGTGGTGAGTCAAATCTTTGGGCCGACTGAAATCCCTGCCACACTCGCGGCCGCAAATGAACATTCTGATCTACATGTAGGCGTTGGAACAGCCGGCTGGGGACGATAGACACAGGTATACGCGCACGCACACACACACACACGCACGCACGCACGCACACACACACACACATACATACAAACACACACACACACACACACACACCGGCACACACACCTCAGACCTCACCTCAGACATGCCCATCGCGGAAGCGATGATAGCGAACAGCTATGTTAGACATAGCAACTTGTGCTGGGATTACACCATTCAACAGCTTGCAAGGCTGATGAATTGACCGCCACTATTTTTAGCCTGGTATCCACCACACAGCTGTTTCAAGTGATTTTTTCTGGCCAGTGAATCCCTATTTTTCATTTTTCCATTTTTTTCTACACACACCCATCACACCACATACTCCGGCATACACTGGCTGTCGGTAACCACCCAGGAGAATGAAAGAAAAGTCAGGAAGAGTCCGAGAAAGAGAAGGAAGACGTGTGCGACCATAATCGTCGGGAATTTAACCCGCAACCTCTCGATTGGAAATCACACACACACACACACACACACACACACACACACACACACACACACACACACACACACACACACACACACACACACACACACACACACACACACACACACACACACACACACACACACACACACACACACACACACACACACACACACACACACACACACACACACACACACACACACACACACACACACACACACACACACACACACACACACACACACACACACACACACACACACACACACACACACACACACACACACACACACACACACACACACACACACACACACACACACACACACACACACACACACACACACACACACACACACACACACACACACACACACACACACACACACACACACACACACACACACACACACACACACACACACACACACACACACACACACACACACACACACACACACACACACACACACACACACACACACACACACACACACACACACACACACACACACACACACACACACACACACACACACACACACACACACACACACACACACACACACACACACACACACACACACACACACACACACACACACACACACACACACACACACACACACACACACACACACACACACACACACACACACACACACACACACACACACACACACACACACACACACACACACACACACACACACACACACACACACACACACACACACACACACACACACACACACACACACACACACACACACACACACACACACACACACACACACACACACACACACACACACACACACACACACACACACACACACACACACACACACACACACACACACACACACACACACACACACACACACACACACACACACACACACACACACACACACACACACACACACACACACACACACACACACACACACACACACACACACACACACACACACACACACACACACACACACACACACACACACACACACACACACACACACACACACACACACACACACACACACACACACACACACACACACACACACACACACACACACACACACACACACACACACACACACACACACACACACACACACACACACACACACACACACACACACACACACACACACACACACACACACACACACACACACACACACACACACACACACACACACACACACACACACACACACACACACACACACACACACACACACACACACACACACACACACACACACACACACACACACACACACACACACACACACACACACACACACACACACACACACACACACACACACACACACACACACACACACACACACACACACACACACACACACACACACACACACACACACACACACACACACACACACACACACACACACACACACACACACACACACACACACACACACACACACACACACACACACACACACACACACACACACACACACACACACACACACACACACACACACACACACACACACACACACACACACACACACACACACACACACACACACACACACACACACACACACACACACACACACACACACACACACACACACACACACACACACACACACACACACACACACACACACACACACACACACACACACACACACACACACACACACACACACACACACACACACACACACACACACACACACACACACACACACACACACACACACACACACACACACACACACACACACACACACACACACACACACACACACACACACACACACACACACACACACACACACACACACACACACACACACACACACACACACACACACACACACACACACACACACACACACACACACACACACACACACACACACACACACACACACACACACACACACACACACACACACACACACACACACACACACACACACACACACACACACACACACACACACACACACACACACACACACACATACACACACACACACACACACATGCACGCACGCGTGCGCTCACACACACATACACACATACGCACGCGCGCGTGAACACACCTGTCCTGTCCTGCAGGCCTGTCGAGCCACTGCCACAAGGGTAACGTGGGCTCCG